GAAGGAGACAGGTTTTGTTTTTGTTATAGTTTATCGTTGCCTCACAGTCGTCTGGTTGCTTCAAATTTTACAAAGTACTCTTGCGCAGTGAGAGTACCTTGTTTCAAGTACATGATTTCGTACTTGCTTCTTTCTTCTTTGAACACATCTTGGAAATGGTCCTTTAGCATGGCTCAAAATGAGCCCAGCTCTCCAATTGCTCCATTTCTTCGATGTCTGTCCTTTCATCTGCCAGCATCTTTCTTTCCACCCATTCTGTTCTAAGTGCTGCCGCTGCTCCGCTTGTCATATAGGATAGAGTAAAATTAATCTTGTATACTTCTATCCGGAAGTATTCTGGGTTTGCTCCAAAACAAAGCTGTAGTGATTCAAAGAGGTTCCAGAACTCCTTCTTCATACTGTCATATGGTTCCGGCTTGGCTAATGCGGCTTTTCTGTAGCCAGCTTTGTGTCTGATAGGCCAGTCCATCTGTTGCTGCTGCTGCGGCGGCTGCATTGCAAGCCTTCTCTGCAAGCCTGCAACTTCTGTGTCTCTTTGCAGGAATTGCCTTTCCCACTCTGCATTGTTGTCCTGGATTGCGGTGTTCATGGCCATCCGGACCATCATCTCTAAATTCTGCATGCGCCTCGACTCTGGCGAAGGTGATTGTTGTCATGCACCAAAGTTGATTGGTAGCATGGACAGGTGTCAATAACGAAGCGAATATTCAAAAAGACTCGCCTTTGTGCCACACAGGCACAGTGCCACGTGGAATAGTAATTAATATTGCCTTTTTCAAACTTGTGGCTGATCAGCACCACCTCTATTAGGCAATCCAGTCACACTCACCTTTGCTTTTCCATTTGGTACTTTCTGCGTTTTGGCATTTCGGCAAATTTTTTGTATCGCCACTGGCTACATATTGCATTGCGCCCTCACTTTTGTCGTTTCCTTCACTTCCCTTCCTTTGCCTAGCCCCACCATGGGTCCCTTACTCTCGTTTTTATTCTCACCTGACGGTTGTTTCTGAATCCCTATTTTAGTTCACCTCCTTGTCACCTCCACCCTCCTCCTCCTCCTCATCTTCTTTGCTTCCCCACCATTTCTGATGTCACCACTTCCTATCCGCTTCCATTGCCAATCCGTCAACTACCACGTGCCACTGCTGATATCAGCAAAGCCCTGGCAGCCAGTCCAAATAGGGCAACAGGTCCATCTTCATGACGTCAATCTGCCATCATATACTATCAAAACATTGGCCGCTCGTCTTGCCTGGTTGGAGCGTGGGTGGGTAGTTTTTGAGCTGGAGAAGGTTTATCCCCTTGCGTTGCCCATGTTCATTGCTGTCCCATTCACTTGGGTACACTTATCTTTCATCCATTGTCTTTGCTACAGCTACATCTACCACATGCTGCCTGGGACTCACTTCTTCCAAATTGGGACTACTCCTCTCCCTCCCTCATTTGACCAGGTGGTCCAACACAACCAGTCCATTGGTAAGGCCATGGAACTGTCGGATTGGACTAGGTGGTGACCATC